CCCGGGCTGTTCGAATGGCTTTCCGGTGCCTCCCGGCTGGCTGCCCAAATTTTGAGGCTTCCCGGGCTGGCCAAATGGTCCATCGAGCCTCCCGGGCTTCCCCAATGGCTCTCTGGAGCCTCCGGGCTGCCCCAATGGTTCTCTCTGGGGCCTCCCGGGCTGTTCGAATGGCTTTCTGGAGCCCTCCCGGTCTCTCTTCCAAAGGCCCTCGTGGCACAGAGTCCTCTTCTAAAGGTTCTCGTAGCACAGGCTCCCTTGCTAAAGGCAGATTATTGGAATCATCCGGTTTCCGTGGCCTCCTGGCACCTCCCGGGCTGTCTAAATGGCCTTTCAATGGCTCCTAGCTGCCTCCCGGTAGACAAAATCCACCTTGCCTTCGCGGATTACTGGAATCATTTGGTCTTGCCTTAGCAGATTACTGGAGTCATCCAATCTCCGTGGAATCCTCTGCTAAAGGCTCTGGTAGCACAGATTCTTCTTCTAAAGCCCCTCGTGGCTTGGCATTCGGGGTCGAAACCCGATTTTGGACGGACGTCTAATTTTGTCTAAGTTCTAATACAATTTCAATGGCGAACGGCCCGGCTCGCGGCTAATCCTGGGGGGTGGGCACCACGGCCGGCTTCCCGTAGCACAGACTGGCCTTTAAAAGGCCGCTCGGAGCCCCCGTAGGACAGAATTGCCTCTCGGCGACGGCTAGAAGCACAGATTCCGTTCCACAAATTTTCGTGGCCGCCGATCGGTCGGGCGGCCAAACCCTATTCGCGAAACCTAAATGGCCGGATCCATGCGCATTCCTTTCCACGTGTCCTTTCTTTCTTCGGCTCGGCCGCAACCCCTTGCCCAATCGCCGGCGTTGCGGCCTCGCCTTTTTTTTGCACTTGTCGGCTTTGCGTGCATATGTCTCTTTGTTGTGCATATGTCTCTTTGTTTGCCTTCCGTATCTTGGCACGGGGCTTGGGAAAGCAGCGATGCAAGCAATGGGCACGCGCGAGGGGAGAGAGAAACGTGACGTTTTGGCCTGAGAGAAGGGTGCGCAGCCGCTGCCTATGTGGCCTTATCCAGGGTGAGGAAAGACGCCGACTACCTCTTGGGAGGCTACATCAAGCCTGAGCACTTCGTGCCGGCCAAGTGAGCGGAGTGAGCGGTAGTTCTGTCGCATTTGTGCAGTAGGCGCATCGTGGATGGCTCTAGGCCAAGAAGGATATCCTTGAAAACAGTGGACGCCTCTGGCCGAAGGCCACGGACAGAACATAGGGTCGTGCGTGGCAACGAAAAAACGTAGCATCCTGCGTTTAGACGGCGAATCGGCGAGCCGTCTTTGTTGAAACATTGTTCCGCAAAGCCGGCGGACCTTATAAATACTGACGGGCAAAACACTAGCGCCATAGTCCCGGATCGGCAGCTTGGGTTCGAATAGAATTCATAATATCACTAACTTCCTATAATAACTTGAAGCTCGGCCGCAACCCCTTGCTCAGTCGCCGGCGTTGCGGCCTCGCCTCTTTTTTTTTGCACTTGTCGGCTTTGCCTGCATATGCTCCTTTGTTTGCCTTCCGTATCTTGGCACGGGACTTGGGAAAGCAGCGATGCAATCAATGGGCACGCGCGAGGGGAGAAAGAAAGGCCAAGAGCCTGCCCGGCGACTGAGGGCAACCCTAAACCCTAAAAGAGTTGTGTTTGGGTGGCCTTGGGGTGGGCTTGTCCGCAACGTGATGGCGTGCGCAATGGGGAGGGGCGGCGTTAAAAAATGATCGATAGCCGCCCCGATAAAGGCGCACGCCATGAGCCGTGAATATCCTAAACCCTAAACCCTCAAGCACTGATAAAATAGAACTTGTGCACACACGCTTTCATTTTTAAAATTAAAACAAAAATCTGGTCAAAACCCGGTCAAAATCCGCACAAAACCTGCCCAAAACCGCACAAAACTTTGGACCTGAACCCTATACAAGTTCTATAAACCCTAAACCAACCAACGAAACCCTAACCAAATGCATGCGCCAACGAAACCCTAACCAA